TTCTTCTATTGTTCATTTAATTATGGCCTTTGCTCTGTCTCTTCCTTTTTCCCTTCTGGAATTTCTGTTATTCACATGATAGGCTTTCTGGATTTATCTTCTCTGTCTCTTATCTTTTTTCTTGTTATTCTCATATTTGTATAATTTGCCTCCATGTTTTAAGATTTTTTTTGCATCCAGTTTTTCCAAACCATAAACTCAGGTTCCAAGATGACCATTATCTCCTTCAAATTACCTCTTAATGTTGAGATCTGAAATCACGTTTTGGGGTGGGAATAGCTCTAGAAAACCTTTTTAAGGGGGGGGGGCATTAGAGGAGAAGGGCTACATTTGAGTTTTCTTAAGTGCACTTATTATTTGTAATGAGATAATGCAAAGTTTTTTTCTTTAATGTGTATTTATTTTTGAAAGAGAGAGAAAGAGTGCATGCGAACAGGCGTGGGAGGGTCAGAGAGTGAGGGAAACACAGAATCTGAAACAGGCTCCAGGCTCTGAGCTATCAGCACAGAGCCTGAGGTAGGGCTTGAACCCACAAACCGTGGTGAGATCATGACCCGAGATGAACTCGGACGCTTAACAGATTGAGCCCCGCAAGGCTCCCGGAGTTACTGCAGGTTTTATCTATCTCCAACAACTGCTCTATTTTGTCTGTCATGTGTTGTTCTGGTTGTTCTGCCTGATATTTTCCTGTCTAGCTTCTGAGACTTCTAAAATAGTTGTTATATTCTCTGTCAGATGACTGAGGCTCAGGGGTGGAACTTCTCAGGTAGTGGATGGCAAAAGTGTCCTGTGCTGCAAAGCAGCCCAACTATTGGTGACCTGCTGAGGCATTGTGGACACTTCTTAGCTCTCAGGGCTCTGGCCTCAGGGTAGAGAAACTCCTGCCCACCGTTAGCTCTTCTGGGCTTCCTCATATGTACTTTGGTAGAGACCTGAAGAAAGCCATGTTAGGGATAGGCAGTCAGATGTTATTTATTGTTCAGTGGTTGCTCTAGGAATCACATCTGTACCTACCCTGTCAAGAAGGCTTACAACCATGAACGTCCTTTGCCTTCTCTCCTTTATGTTATGGTTGTCGCGTATATGACAATGAAAACCCCACCATACCATGTTAAGGTTTTCACTTTCAATAGGCACGAGTTACACACAAATGGAAGAAAAATAGACTTTTATATTTACCCAGATCTTCATTATTTCTGTTGCTATGTTTTTATTCCTAATGTTAGAAGTTTCCCTCTGGTGTCCTTTCCTTTCAGCCTAAAGAACTGTTAGCATTTCTGTTTGAGTATGTCTGCTAGCAACAAATTATCTTAGTTTCCCTTCCTCTAAGAATGTCTTATCTCTCCTTCCTTTCTGAAGGGTACTTTCAAAGCTTCACAGTTCTTTCTTCAGCACTTCAAAGATATTTCACTGTCATTTTGCCTCCATATTTTTTGATGACAAATCTGTAATAATTTGAATAATCGTTCCCTAATATATAATGTATTATTTTCTCTTGCCGTTTCTAAGGTATTTTCTTTATCTTTGTTTTTAGAAGTTTGATTGTAATGTTTCTGGGTATGGTTCTCATTGAGTTTATCTTACTGGGATTCGCTGGGCTTCTTAAATCTATGAATTTAAATCTTTTACCGTATCTGGGAACTTATCTGCTTTATGTCTTCAAAATATTTTTTCCTGTTTTGATTCCTTTCTCCTTTCCTTCCTGGACTCTAATCACATGACTGTTGTCATTCTCCAGTCTCTGCTCTTTTGTTTTTTTAATTTTCTCTCCGTTTTTCAGATTGTATAATTTCTACTTACCTATCTCCAAATTCACTGCTTCCTTCTCCTGTCACCTCTATTCGGCTTTTGAGAGCATCCAGGGAATTTTTTATTTCAGTTATTATATTGTTCAATTCTAAAGCAGTCATTTGGTTCTTATTTATAGAGCATATATATATTTTTTTCTCTTAAGAACTTCTATCTTGTCATTTATTTTAAGAGTGGTAACCTTTACCTCATGGAGGAAGCTTATAACAGCTGCTTTAAGAACATTGGTAATTCTAGCATCTGGGTCATCCTGGTACAAGCAATGGTTGATTGTCTTTTCTTTTCTTGAGAATTGACCACATTTTCCAGGTGTTTTATATGTTGACTTTCTTGAACATTTAAAATATTATAGTGTGAGATTTCGGATCTTGTTAAAATCCCCTGGAGAATGGTGAGGGTGATTTTTGTTCGTTTGAGCAAGCAAAACTCTAGGACATGGGAGGTGATTCATATCATAGTTCAATTCTTGAGGCTTCTACTCTCCTTCCCTGGGTTTGTTCTGCACATTCACAGCTCTGGGTTGAGTTCACCCAGTAAGTTAGTCTGGTTGTCTAGCTGTCTCCTTTCCAGGGTCTGCCCCATAGTTCTTCAGCCTTCAAGCTTTTTCTTTTTCTAGTTTCTCTGGTCAGAAAGACTAAGTTTCTTTTGGAGTTGTATTTAGCATCCTTCACAGCGCTGGGACTGGGGTTCACACTCAGGTCACGCATGTGAGAGAAAAAAATAAAACCAAGAATATCACCACCTTGTAGATTATTTCTCCAAATTTGACTCCCTTCCACATTCTACCTGCTTTTGTTTAGTTTTCAAAGTCCTCAGATAGTTGCTTTTTGTATTTTTCCCATAGTTTCCCATTGTAATCCGTGGGAGAGATCGATTTTAGCGGTCTTATTCCCATTTGGCTGAAAGTGGAACCACCTGGTACTATATTAAATCAGTAGGGTTTTGATAAATGTTTACCAAGCTGAAAAATGATGGAAATAGATTTGAATTTTGCCTTTTTGTTTTTTCTTTCCATTCTCTGGAAAAACTGGTGGGTTATGAGTAACCAGATAAAAAGCAATAAGAATCACGAAAGGGATCATGGATTCATGGAGAATCAGCATGAGAGAGACTTAGAAATTATTTCTTTTCACACCTAAAATAAATTCTGGACTCCTTACCCTAGTTTTCCAGGCCCTGCATGAATTGGTTCTATCTTTTCAACCTCACCTTGCTATACCCTTCCTTTCTTATAGGTGACAATCTTCAGACCGCAATAACAGTGGCCAGAAAGTCTGGAATGGTTTCTGAAAGCCAACAAGTCATTCTGATTGAAGCGAATGAAATCACTGGGTCCTCATCAGCATCTATATCTTGGAAATTAGTAGAAGAGAAGTCCATGGCATACAGCAATCAGGTACACCTAAAAACAGACTTATCTAACTTGACTCATAGTGTTGGCTTCTGAGCAGCTTTGACTGGCAGAGATGTACAGGTGACCTCGGGTCAACATATTTCCCCAAATGTCTAACACATATGCAGTTCGAAGAACTCATATCCATTTCTCATACTGTTCCTACTGAGCTTTAATGTATAGTGCCGTCGTGGGTCCTGGAAAGGATCCATTATTTTAAGTGTAATAATGTTGTTGGCCCTATGGGAGAAAAAATGTAGTAAGGGGGACTGTGAATCGAATTTCTCATCCTCCTCTTGCTTGCTAACCATCCCACTGGGTCCTAAGGAGATTTAGTCCCTGGGAGAGAAACTGCTGTGCACATTGGAAAATTAGACTATGTCTTTGGGCTGGGAAAAAA